AAACCCAAAACCCAAAACCAAACCCAAAACCCAAACTCAAAACCCCAAACCTCAAACCCCAAACCCAAATCCCCAAACCGCAAACCATAAACCCTAAAAACCCTAAACCCTAAACCCTAAACCCTAAAAACTCTAAACCCTAAAAACCATAAACCCTAAACAAAAAACTCTAAACCCTAAACTCTAAAAACCCTAACCCCTAAACCGTAAACCCTAAACCTTAAAAAACCCTAAACCCCAACCCCTAAACCCCAACCCATAACCCCTAAACCTTAACCCTAACCCTAAACCCAAAACCCGAAACCCTATTAAACCCGAAACCCTATTAAACCCTAAACCCTATTCAACCCTAAACCCTATTAAACCCTAAATTCGTTTAAACCCTATTAAACCCTAAATCCTAAAAAATCCTAAACCCTAAAAAAACCCTAAACCTAAACACTAAACCCTGATATTTTTTTACGTTTGTTTGTTACCTCTCCTGATATTTTTCCAACAAAATACCTATTACTACGACTCCGCACGTCAAAATTCGTCCAAAAATAACATTCCTAGGTCCATGAACCAATTTTTAGTAGTTAGCTCACTCTGTTGTGTCGGTTTACATACCTACTATTTGAATTTTGATCTCATATTTTTTTTCACGTTGTTCAACACTTGTTGTGGAACCACAAAAATTTTTAGGTCATTCCGAGACGGTAGAAAATTTTATAACTACGGCTGTCAATGTCTTCGAAACACTGTCAATGTTAACATCGACATCGAAAAACGAGTTATTTGAGAGAAACATGCAAATACTTTATGGTTTACGCATTCCCAAGCTAGCTTATGTGTTGGAGTTCTCATCACTCTTTATTACATCCATAGGAAGTTGCTTACTTACTTCCTATGAATTGATGGAATCATCATAATTTTCATCATCGTAGTGTACTTACTTCTCCTTAACAACATATATTATGACGACATATTACATTTCTATCACTATTAAAACTGCTTCTATCACTCAAATGTCATAGCTTGCTTGCAAAGTCTTGCCTAATGAAAAACTTTCAATTCTTTGTGCATCCATGCAGCGGTCAAATACTGTTGCCAATGTTTCTATAATAGATAGCAGTGTTGCTTATTTTCATGCCACGAAGCATGTCACAACGATCGTTTTCCCTAACACGAATGCAACTATTAATAGAATTTAACTATAACTCTTCCTCTGGGTGGGTGGCTGCCTCCCACCCACACCATATTGTTAGTCATCTTCTTCGTCGTTGATGGCAACGGTCTATCAGTAGGGTTTATACTTCTATCACAATATGGTGTTAATACCTACCGGAACGAGTTTAGTAGGTTTCCGGAATGGGTTTGTACTTCCCGGAACGGGTTTATGATGTGGACAAAGGGTTCATACCTTTCACATTCGGTTCATCATCATCATTTGCCGGAAAGGATTTTTCATTTTCCGGAACGGGTTCATAGACTTCATATCACTCTTTATTACATCCATAGGACGCATGGCTGCCAATGTTTTTGGTAAAAGTACCAAAAATTTGTTCAGTGTAGTCGCTTGCAATGTTTGCCCTAAAATTAATGTTGCAAGTCCTTCAGTCAGTGTTTTTAACCTCAACCCTAACCCCTAAACCCTGAACCCTAACCCCTAACTCTGTGTGTATCTTTTATACATAGTGTTTTTAACTTATTTTCTTAATCAAATTTATGTATCTTTTATACATAGTAATTTATACTAAAATTGTAAAGAAAAATATTTTACAATTAAATTACATAAATATGACATTTTCTTTGTAAATGTAATAATATTTTTTAGGCTTAATACCCTATTTTGTCTACAGTTTTGTTCGAAAATGTCAAATTAATCAATCTTTTAAAAAATGTGTCAATTACGTTCTCACTTAATAAAATTTGTATCAATGAAATCCCTTCCGTTAAATCCAATCCATACAAACAGCGTTAATTATTTTTCTCTTTCTTTAATTAACGCAGTTTGTACGGATTTAACAGAAGAGATTTCATTGATGCAAATTTTATTAAGTGAAGAAGTAATTGAAGTATTTTTTAAAAGATAGACTAGTTTGACATTTTCGAATGAAATTGAGGACAAAATAGGGTATTAAGCCTATTTTTTATTTTAAAGCAATAATAAATAATTTTTATATTTTTATTATATGTATTTCGACTAGTAATGTCTAATTTTCAAGATTTAGGCCTTCTGATTTTAAAAAGAAAATATAGTTAAAGTTAAATTATCTTCAAGATTTCTCCATTACCACAGTAGTTATGAAATAAAAGGAGTGCAGATAGTCCACTTGAAAGCTTATTTTCAGTGAATATTTTGGCGCCATTATGTATTTGTTTTCTTTTTGGCATGGGTGTGCGAATGACATCCAATAATCCTTTGGTATCATGGACGATGAGGTATGAAAATGGAAAAATAGCTTTCTTGCAATTTGCAAACTCCAACTGAGTCTCACTCTTTCGACTGTTAATGTATGCAATTTTAGGAATTTGATTGGGAAGCAGCTGCTAGAGAAATCGACGTTGTTTGCGAGATGGCGAGCGACGCACAGGGAAAGGGGAAAGCAGCAAACGGGTCTCAAGAAGGAATCCGCAACACCGCAGTTAGAAGAAGATGACGAAAACCCTACCTTTGTCCACCACATAGATGCGGAGGCAGCCAAAACCTGGATATATCCGGGTACAACTGTTGATTCCCTACACTTTCTTTCACACTTGAAGAGTTTTATTTAACACCTTTTGGAATTGGATTGAAGTTAAGGTTCACCTATTTGCATTGCAGTTAATGTTCCCCTCCGTGACTATCAATTTGATATTACCCAGTCCGCACTCTTCTCCAACACATTGGTGGCCTTGCCAACGGGACTTGGCAAAACACTCATTGCTGCAGTTGTCATGTATAACTACTTCAGATGGTTTCCTCAAGGTAATTTCTTGTGCTGCCTTATTCTTGTGTATCTACAAGTCTTACACTTTCAATGCCACAGACCCTTTAACCGATAAAATGCTTCCTTTCACAACAGGAAAAATAGTCTTTACCGCTCCTTCTCGGCCACTCGTCATGCAGCAGATCGAAGCTTGCCACAATATTGTTGGAATACCTCAAGTAACAACTTTTTTTCTTGTTTCTGATTCACTTTTATCTTTTCTTTGATGAAAATCTTGAAGTATTGGGGAAAATTTAATTTCAGGAATGGACAGTTGACATGACTGGTCAGCTAAGTCCCCCTAAAAGGGCTCAATTTTGGAAAACGAAGCGAGTATTCTTTGTCACTCCTCAAGTATTAGAAAAGGATATTCATTCTGGTGATTTTAATGTCATTTTAATTCCATAAATTCTCTGAAATTGATTTAATTCCATTGATTGTCTGAATAAGGCTCTAGCTTTATTTTGCTTTTTTGCACGACCTAATTTGTTTCAGGTACATGTTTGGTGAAGTGCTTGGTATGTTTGGTAATTGATGAAGCTCACAGAGCTATGGGAAATTACGCTTATTGTGAAGCAGTTCGTGAGGTCTGATTCTTTCGAGGCTTTTATTTATTACTGGTTTTTATTAATAGAGTATGTTTCATCATTATTGCACATAATTTATTCATACCTTTTAGTTTTTTATCTGGTTTTTAGTTGATGGCTGTACCGGTACAGCTGAGAATATTAGCTTTAACTGCAACACCAGGATGTAAGTTTTTGAGTATCTTATGTTCTTTTCAGTCTTTAACCTTTTAACAATATTGTGTTCTAATTTTAAGTTTGATATTCAGCCAAGCAACAGACAGTTCAGGCTGTCATTGATAATCTGCATATCTCCAGACTTGAATATCGCAGCGAAACTGACCATGATGTTATGTCATATGTTCACAATAGGAAGATAGAATTGATACAGGTAGTCTATGCATGCCTATTTGAAATCTAAGTCATATTTTCTGCATTTAGAGATCTTTGTTGCAATTTTACCAGGTTGTGATGGGCCCGGAAGCTGCAGAAATAAATAATAAGTTTATGGAAGCAATACGCCCTATAGTAGCGAGGCTTACAAATATTGGTGTCATTCAGAACAGAGATTACCGCACTGTAAGACTCTCTGCCTTCTGTTTTGTTTCCATTTTTACAAGAGTCAGATAGCTCTACCTATTGTCAGCAAATAAATACATGACTTATTAGTGATTTTTATTGAAATACGGGGAAATATATATTTGAGTAAGGATTACACTCTCCTTCCCCCTTCATTTTACTTTCATAATCTATTGAGGGATCATCTAAAGTTGGCTTATTATGTTTATCAATTCTTTCAAAGTTGTATAATATAATATATAACTATATAGTCAATTAATTGATGTAACCTGAACAATGAACCAAAGGAGATAATTCTTGAGATACATGTAGTAGAAGAGTAACAATAATTTGTGATCTGTTTTGTTCATAAGATGCATTCAGTTTGTCACACATTGTGAAATTAAAGAAACTGCATTGTGATATAATTCTATATTTTGAATAGCGACATATCCATAAAGTTGGGTTTGAAAAAAATGAAAGACAACTAACATCTAAAAGTTTCATAAATCTGCCAAACAATAGTTTAAGAAACTACCAAAAATTTATCAGTTTCAAAATGCTATCATGCAAAACATATCTAAATATAGTGGGGGAAGAAACCCTGCCGCCACTACAAAAAACATTTACTATAGTTTTAATAAAAGTAAAGTCTTAGACTTTAGTTAAAAGGAATCTGACTTTATTAACCTCCAATCATTTCCAGAGGTCTTTTAAACATTATGTTTTTGAATCTGTAGCAATTATATAATTTGATT